ATCAGCGGGCAAAGCTGGGCATCCAACCGAGGTACTCCAACATGGGAATGAGCCTCTCAGCTGATCTTTCAAGTCCTTTGATACATACCTATTCCTCTAGATATTTTCATGAGCTCAAGTCTTTGTCAAGTCAATTCTTATTTGGAAACAAAGCCAGATATGCAAGTAAAGTTAAGCAGTTTGATGGGCTCTAACAGCCAGCCTGAAAACCACTGCCCTACATGACACCTCACTCGTTATAGGACCAGGAACCGAGCTGTACTCTCAGGTCACAGTCCCCTCATGGATAAAAATAATTTGTTTAGATTTTCTCTCATTTTTCTTACAACTGCAGTATTTTATGACCCTGAAAATATCACCATGATACATAGCTAAGATTTAAGGCACACATACTGTATTTCAAGCACTGCTACATCATCTTGCTTAATCCTCCCAATCACTCTGTACACTGAGGTACCGCTGACATGCCTATTGTACTGATGGGGACACTGAGGCACATAGTGATTATGACAATAATTCACAGAAAGTTTTAGTTTTTCTCTTATTTGGTCTATACTGCAAACCTGGAAAGAAGTATTGATATTTAGAAAGGTAGTTACTTATATAAATACAAAGGCCTGGGATTTAGGCAGGTCCACCAGAATCCAAAATCCATTCTTTTCTTCAATACAAGTACAGGTACAGCCTGGGTTCCATATTCTATTATTTCATCTACTGGTTCACTCCCCAGATATCTGGAACAGCAGGTGATAGGCCAGGTCAGGGGCCACAAACTCAATGTAGATCTCCCACATGGGTGCTAGGGAGCTATGTACATAAACCCCAACTAGCTACCAGTGAGCGTGCACCCTAGAAAGAAGCAGAATATAAAGTGGAACTAAGACTCAAACCCAGGTACCCTGATTTGACATGCAGGTATTTCCTTTAGGTGATGAGGCAAACCCAGCCCTCCCCAGCCCTGTGATGAAAGCTTTTAAAATGGCATTTACGTGGTGTTACTGCTCTGTGAGTGACATGCATTCTTATTTTTAAAGAGATGGTCTATTTCGCATTCTGATACAGAAATGCTCTCGGCTCAGGGATATTGTAAACCTTAAGGAATACAGGTTGTGAGTAATGTAAGTCATTGAATATTTAGTTAGAAGTAATTGCTGAATCCCAGTTTTCAAACTATCTTGATTTCCTCTAAAGTATTTTATTAAAAATAAAACCCAAAGAAAATACATGGAGAATTTGGGATTTATTTTCTTCTGAGTTAATTCCAGAATTGAGAAACTACTGTCCCTTCTTCCCCACTCTGTCCTCCTCGCCTCTGTTTTTTTTTTTTTTTTATGTAGTCATTTGACCTTTGTTCTTGGAGTGAGAAATTACAATTTTAGTGTCAATGCTATGGAAATATCCCTTTCCAAGCCTTTTTTCTTCATCACTAACTCATTAATGCTTCTTGCCATTTTTCATTGTATCAACCAGTAGGTAACAACATGATAATAAGCAGATGGTAAGAGACAAGAATAGAAAATCTTGGAGGATGCTGACAATACCTCCTTTTGTGACTTGAAAATGCTGGTCTGACATTTCACAAGAAGTGCTGCTTATGAAGTAGTATTTCCTAAACACAAAGAAAAATATAATGCCCACCAACGATTTTTTTTTAAAAAAACAGCATATCCATCTCGGATTTGCTTGGTCTGTGCTCTAATGCACATTGTCTTCTAAGTAGGCGTCCTTGCACACATGCTGGAAATTTGTCCCATGGAATCAGTACTGTTCTCCTGGGCTCAATGTCAGCTTGAGAGTTACACAAGCAGTTTCATAAAAATGATAATGTTCCAATGACCTACTTTAAGCATATTTTAGAGACCTGTATTAACTTGACATCTTGCAAATCCATATGACATAGATACAGCTACTCATAGTAAGCATTGACAGTAAATTAGTTGGGACGTTTTGGTCTTTAAACTTTAACATGACAGGTCATCTACAGCAATGATTTTTAAAATCTCTTCCAGAAATGAGTTTAAAATGTAGATTCTTGGAGTCCTTGCACAGATTTATCAAATCCGTTTCTTGGAGTAAAGCCCTGGCACCTGCAATTTCAGCAAAGGACATAGGTAATATAAAGCTCGCCAAAGTGGACACAGTACTCCTTCATTCATTCAACAAATGCCCAGGGAACTCCTTTTACTGATACAGACAAAACTTACTATATAAACACACATCTTCCTTTTTAGTATTGTTTCTTGGATTATAAGCTTACAAGCCACTTGAGAAAAATGACCTTGATCTATGCTATTAAAAAGACTTCTTCCTTGCCCATCACTATATATATATATAATCCCTGGTTGTGTATAGCAGCAAATGCTGCATAGCTTTTCTCATCAGTCCCTCAGAAAAGCCAGGTTGTCACATCTGGTGCTGTGGCATCAAGAATGTGTTGAAACTCATACTCATTGGGTGTCCTTCAAGAGAATCTACAAGTGTGGTATGTGCGTTAAATTCTGCATTGATTATAAGCTAAAGAGACTCCAACTCTGACATTAAACTTCTGTTTTGAAGCTCTGTTACGAACTCATAAAGCATATAAATAAGAAAATGTATCACAAAGAGAACAGAGCAGAGTCTTACTCCACACACTTTTTTTCATGGTACAGAATCTTTAATACATGGATGTGTTGTATAATGTCCAATCAAGGTAAAAATACCTATTTCCTTAAGCACTTAACACTTCTTAATCATGAATACTTTCTTTTTTTTTTTTTTTTTCAATTTATTTGCTTAGATTTATTTCATTTTTATTTCATAGCTTTCTTTATTATCATTTTATGATATAGTTCCACAGGCTCTGGGATTCCCCACACCCCCTCCAAAGTACCCCTACATTATTACTATACTCCAGTTCTTTATAAACAGTCTATGTCCATCATTAAGGGCATGGACAATGACAGAGTCCAGCTTCCTATTATCAAGTTTCACCTAGAGTCCATTTCTGGTCTGGAAGTAGAAATGCATAACGCATTGTATTCTCACATTCCCTTAAATGAAAAATTACAATACAAAATCAGCAACAGGAAGAAAAAGAGAAATATACAATGCCATGAAGTTAAATAACATGCTACTAGATATAAGAGTCTTTATTACTATACATCCCCTTAAAAGCCACAAAAACAGGAAAAAACATGAATACTTTCAAAATCATTTCTGTGAATGCTTAAAAGAGAAACATGTAAGTACATTACCATTAGCTATAGCCATCCCATCAAACAACAAAACACAAGGACTTCTTCCTCCTATCTAATCATACCTCTACCGCTACCTACTGTAGCCAGCCTCTGTGGCCACGACTATACTCTTCTATGAAATCAACTATTTTAGATTCTACATAGGATTGAGTTCATGTGGTTGTTGTCTCTCTGTGCTTGGTTTATTTCACTCAACGTGACAACCACATTTTCTTTAGGCATTCATCAGTTGTCAGACACTTAGGCTGTTTAGCATTTCTTGACTTTTGAATAGTGCTTCCACAAAATGGGAGTACAGATGTCTCTTCAACAGACTGGGTTCATTCCTCTTGGGTTTATATATCCAGTAGTGGGATCACTAGATCATGCAGGATTTCTATTTTCAATTTTGGGAAGAATGTACTTACTGTTTCCAACAACCCTCACAGTAGAAACTGACATTTCCTGTTAACAGTGTGTCAGAGTTCCCCTTTCTGCACGTGCTCACAGCTCTTGATATCTCTTTTTGATAATTATAATGTAATTGCAGCGAGGTAAAACAGTGATTTGGACTTGCGTTTCCTTGGTGCTTACTGTTGTTAAGTATTTCATTTTATCCACCTGATGACCATTTGTATGTCTTCCTCTGAGAAATATCTGTTGCATATACTATTATCTTAAAAACTAGCCTTTCCTTTCTTTTCTCTTTATTATTATCCACATTACTCTCCTATAGTTGTAGAATTTCTTTCTTTTTTTTTTTTTTACTGAGTGTTGAAACAATGGAGGTCACCTAACTATTTTTAACAAGAACCTTACAAAAATTCTTCTCAAACTTTGTTCAGCCTAAAATCACATTGAGTTTTCCAAATGGCTATGTAAAATCCCTATTAGGCTTATGAGAGTTTGGAAGAATGTATTCAAGACAGGTTCTTCAAAAAATTCATGGAAAATGGAATTAAGAGATAAATTTATTTTGGTATAAATTTTTGAAGTCCAGACAATTTTTCCATAGTATGAGTTTGCAAACTTTCTCAAGGTTCTCTGTATGTATGGACTTTTCTTGCATTAAAATAAATTTCTTCTAATTCTTCTTTTTCTATCAACCTTTTGAAGTACCATCATATTATGCCATACCATCATATTACGCCATCTGCGTGGCTGGAGTCTCAGAAGAAGCATTAGGGAGGTAACACACAAAGCTGGCACTGAACAAGGGGCAGCACTGCACAACGCCTTTCTTTGCTGAGGGAGGAGTGCCAATGACAAAGCAGGAGATGAAAGTCTTCAACATTTGGACAACAAATGGCTTGCTCCCCTAACCATGGCCACTGAGGGAACAAACACCTGTCATCAGTAGGACCTTGCTACTGATGGAAAGGGGAGCATGGCCATCTCAGATCTCCTGTTAGAGAATGTGGGCCCATGGAAGGCTCTTTGGCAAGCTGGGGAACATAGTAAAGAGAACGGGGGCAAACTGGAGCTCTCTATCTGCACATGATGACCCCTTCATGCCCCATCATTGCCTGTAAATGAGGAGAAAACACCAGCAAACCAACAGTACCTCTGCTAGGCTGGTACCCAGTGGGTTGATTTTATAAATTCTCCCTGAGCTGGAAGTGCTTGCCTATCTGCTCTCTTAATTCCTGTAAAGGAACTGAATAATTCCTTTCTTTATCTTAGAAATATATCTAATTTGGGGCATGAAAAAAAATCCAATTTCTTTGATAAACAAATGTAAGAAAAAACCGTCACAGGGTTGATAGAACGTTCCTTACTTACCAATTTTGTGATGTCTTTTACATTATCCGTCACAATATTCGCGCAGATCCCTTTAGTTTTGACAAGAGGATTAAATAGGAGCAGTTGAAGATAAATGCAAGTGATAATCCAAGTCTAAATGAAAACAGAAAAATTTCTCAGTGACCGCAGGTAAAAATCCACAATAATTCAAATAATTGACATCTTACAACCTGACTTGGAAAACAATCAATCTACCACCTTATTTAACAACAACAACAACAAAACCTGTCACCTTAAATACAACACAAGGTTAAGCAATCAAATAAAACTCACCAACTTAAAACAACAACAACAAAAAGTTTCTGCAAAATCTTGTTTGAATTATCCTTTTAATGACACTATTGCTATCTTTGGTCAAAGACTTTCTACAGCCAATTTCCTAAGGGCAGTCAGGAATGAACGTGTAGTGGCATGTGAAAGACTCATATTTAGGGAGACTTCTAGAAAGAGAATGCATAAAATGTATACCTTAAGGCACCAAAAGAATCTTTTTACTTTAAATATAGAATCCATTGACAAGTAGCAGCAAAACCCCTTGGCAGCACTTTCAGCCACTAGTCCACCAGAGTCCAGCAAGGCAAACCGAGGAGAGGAGTGGGTGCATCTTTAGATCTAAGAATTTAATCTGATTTTTTAGACATCAAAGAAAATTACTGTTATGGATCACATCATTTTTTTAGAGAGAGTTAAGTGGGAAATAGTTTTGAATTCTATCAGGAAGTCATCTGACTACTTTTCCTACAAAATATTCTTCCTCCATATATTATAATCATTTTATAGTTATTCTGTATTTTTCCTGAGTACATCAAAGTAGAGATTTCTTTATTAAAAAGAAAATTTACTATTTATTTGAAAGGCAGGATTATAGGGAGATAGGAAGAGAGAGAGAGAGAGATCTTTCATTCACTGATTCACTCTCAAAATATCCAAAGTATCCAGCATTGGATCAGATAGAAATCAGGAGCGAGGAACTCCACCGAGATCTCCTATATGTGTATCAGGGGTCCAAGTCCTTGGATCAACATTCCCTGCCTTTTCAGGGACATTAGCAGGGACCAGAATCAGAAGTGAGGCAGCTGGGACCTGAACCCAGGCTAATATGAGATGCCAACATCCCAGATGGCAACTTACCCAACTGTGACACAACACCAGCACTCACACGATAGTTTTAAGAAGTTGGATATCTATTTTATTTTTTCAATATCTTTACAACACATAATCTAATGGTTTGCATATAAAAATCTGATATTTATTTACTGGGTAACTTCCTGGTCAAGGTAATTAGACACATTCTAATGTTTTAATTCAATTGAACAGGTGTGATACAACAGGGACCATACCAGTCATTAGAGAAATAAAGATGATAAAGATGATAAAGATGCCCTTGAAACTTAGAGATAAGTAAATAAACAACACCCACACCCTGTGATAAATGTTCTAGGAAAACAGGAGGAAGCAATTAATCAATTAACCCCAAGGAGGAGAATCTGTGGCAGGAAGACACTGCCAAAAAAAAGCCTGAGAGATTCTGGAAGACAAGCAGGAGTTTGTAAGAAGTGGAAAACAAAGGATTAGTAAATCCTGGAAAAATAAATAGCAGAAGTAATGGTGTGGAAATGTGAAGGTGTTTTTAAATATGAGAGGATACTTTTGGCGGGGGGAGTAAGCTGGTGTTTATCTGTGGTATCTTAAAATTGTACAGAATCCCAAATGCATATATCAGCAATCTTTCTTATTTATGTAACTAGCCTGATGTTATTTTCAACTAATTCTGGCATGGTAACTAGATTTTAGCATAGATCAAATAATGATTATCATTCAATAAAATGTTAATACTATAATGCTACATAATACAGATATAGTAGCACATAAGGCAAATTAAACCGTTTTTAGTTCCATTGCAGTTGTGGCCTATTTTAGCATCCATCTGGCTTAATTTTATTTTTAGGCTACTTTGAGCATTCCTGTTGTCACACTGTTCAGAGTATTGCCTCCTTTAGATCACGATGAAAACTAAATGGTGAAAAGTATTTGTTTAGGTAACTCTTTCTTTTTGGACAATCCCAACAAAATCCCCACTAGCAACAGTCATTCTTCATTTGTGTAAATGTCAGTTTTCATAACCTACTATCTTTGCCCCTAAAATAACTGATCTTTTCATATCATTTCCTGTGAACTTCCTGAAGTATCCACATGTTAACAGCAGTGATCACAGGTTCAGACTGATGGCTATACTCGGGAGGCATTGAAGGTTTCTCTCAACACCAAGTATACTACTGAACTTTAAGAATGGATTTAGAATGTGCAAAAAAAGAGCAGGCATACTGCTAACAGAGTGATGTCTCATGACTCCCAAATTAGCTCCCATGTCCCCAAAGCACTGCACATTTGAGGCGTATATGGTGATGACTGATGGCACTGGGCTGGCAGGACTACTCCTTCAGCTCATAGTTTGCTAGTTCAATAGCCCATAAAGGGTACAGGATAAAAATTCATTCTCTTCCTACACTGGCTATTCCCTACTAGTACCAGCATCAAGAATAAAGGACGTATTGGTGCTTCCTCTGTACCCTAGTCATTTTAGTTGGAGTCCCTAGGACGAAAACAGGTTCATGAAATCTAGTAGGCAGCATCACGGAAGGGATCAGATCCTCAGGCAGCCCTGAATCTAAAGGAAAATGCATAGAATTACCCATCAGTCCTTGCCTCCTGGAGACTGCAGTGCAAGTGGAAGCAGCTTGAAATTCTCAATAGGCTGATAGGTGGTGCTTAGCTGGGAACACAGCATTTTGCTAAACACTGAATGAAGCTACAAGGGTGATCACAAATCTGCAAGAAAAGCAGGCTGAAAAGCTGGCATTAAGGTCTAACACCTATTTAAGCAATGTGCTTTATTCAAGGAACAGCAATCAAAAGAAAAGTGTGTCGTTGAGCAATAAAAGACTGATGGTATCAGAGAACGTGGAGGCTAGATCATATAGAGCACTACAGCCCGTCATTTGGATTTTGAGCAGAGGAGGAATATGAGCATACTTCAAAACTAAAAAAAAAAAATCACTCTGATTGCTGCAGTTAAGTGAACATGAACTTCAGAGTAACCAAAGGTAGAAAAAGAAACGGATCTTCCACTTAGTGGGTACCTGCTGTCATTCAGTTAAGAAGTTGCAGCAGAGCACTGACTCAGACTGGAAGGTTCTGCACATAGCTCTGAAGGCTGAGTCAGAAGAGCGTCCTGACAACTGAAGTGTGATCTGAAAACTTTTCCAAGGATTTTGGCCTGTATAACTAGGATAGTGTTGTCACTGACTATCATGGGGATACTTGAGGGAGCAAAGGTCAGGAGTTAAATGTTGAAGATGCTAAATAAGAGAAGTCATTGATACATCTCAGTCATGAAACCAGGTCAGGAAACTGGATTCCAGGCTCAAAATGAAGGTCTGGGCTCTAGAAAGCAGTAAGAAAGTCTTCAATATGTAAAAGAGATGCTAAGCAAAAGAGTGGATGAGATCAGCAAAGGAGTGAGGGTAAAAAGTTAAAAAAAGAACAGAGGACTGTGCATCCCACCAGCTGTAACCCTAAAGGGTCAGGAAGAACTAGAACACAGCAAGGGCACTGAAAGGTAGAAGGCATAGGAGGAAGAGAAAGACAATTCTTGGGATGTATGTTAAGGAAAACGTCGAATTATATAAAATGCTGCTATTAGGTGAGGTAAGAGGACTTGGAACTGACCATTGCATTCTGCAATGTGAAGGTCATCAGTAACATAAGAGTATTTTTCTTGAAGCAGAATGAGAAAATGCCCATCTAAAATAAATGGCCTAAAGAAGTGCAAGAGGATAGAAACCAGAAGCAATGAGTAGCGACGGCTCTTACGAAGAGTGTTCCTTTATGCTTTGTTCTTTCAAGGAACATTCTTCGTAAGAACAAATAAACACCAAAATGGAAACAAAGTAGGGAGGTACCTAACAAGGAACTGGGAGTGAAGGGAGTCTAATTTGTCAGATTACAGAAATACCAGGATGGCTGCATGTCTGCGGGGAATGATCCGGTAGGAGGGAGCAGCTGGTTATTTGGTCAGAAGATAGTGAACTGTTGAATAGACAAGCAGGTGTGAGAGTGAATTCTCAAGTACAGTGACGGGCTTTTAGGGGGAGGACAAAAGACCCACACTATAAGGTGGGACATTTGAAAGCAAATGCGGATGCTGTTTCGAAACCCTAGAGTGAGTAAAGCTAAAATTCATTGAAAATTTACATGTACCCAGCATCTTACATTGTCAAGTTTAACTTTCATGCATCCTCATTTTAAAAATAAAGAAATGGAGATACAGAGAGATTCAGTGGTTTCTGCGTGGTGGCATTAGGATCTGAACCATGCAAAGTCTAAATTTTATTGTCTGTCCTTTTAATTTACAATGCCAACACTCTCAAAAAGCTGTTAAGATCTTTGTGAAGGTTTCAGTGGCATATCTCCAAACCTTTAATCATTTTGTAAATATCAAGCATATGGAGACAAGTTTTTTCCATATTCCCTGCCATAGCTGAATATACTACATTATTCTAATTATCATAACTTTCACTAACTAGCCTTTAAAAGTTTCTTGAAACATGGCAACACAGACTGCTATAATAATTGAAAAATAATTTATCAGAGGCAGCAATGCCTTTTTTGTTTCAGATAAATATTATTATCTATGAAGATTTGGTTTCACTTATCTTCTAGAAATATATTTGCTCAGGACAAAAATTAAATCTGTGCTAACTTAGAAACATTCAAATATCTGAAAAAAAAAAATGTGTGTGTTCATATACTCTATGGTAAGGCTAGTGCCAGTCAACTCATATAGTCATTTATTTGGGCAAATGCTTTCTTTTACTATTAAAAAGGACTGTATTCCCTTTAGTTAAATGTTGCAATTCATTTCAGCATAGTAAACAATAGGATGGGGAGCAGTCAGGGGAGAAATACAGAGACTGGTACAGGGCAGTGACAGCACCTCCTTCCTCTGCATTCTCAGGAGAGGGGTGAGAATTAAATAGGGGAATTTAGTGGAAAATGTTCAGTATTCTTCAATACAGAAAATCTGCCATTTA